ACGTCTTAAGAGGCATGCACCTTTTTGTATGGTTTCAGGTCTTTTCTCCAGTTCTTTTACCCATATGGAGTTGATTTTTGTGCACAGTGAAAGGTAGCAGTCTAGTTTCATTTTTTTTGCATGTGGTGGTCCAGTTTTCCCAGCACCATTTATTGAACAATCTGCCCGTGTTCCATTGCATAGTCTTTGCTCCTTTGTCAAAGATCAGTTTTCTATGTAAGTGTGGTTTTATTTCTGGGCTCTCTATTCAGTAAACAAGCCAGAAGGAAGAAGAAAAATATCGTATGGTTTCACTTACAGCAGGAATATAGGGAAACCCGGTAAGACATCAGTGTAAAAAATAACAACAGTACAAAACACAACAAAGCAAAAAAAGGATAATTATAAATCAGAGACATCCTGCAGGGGAGCAGGAGGGAGAGGGATCAGAGGGAGGGAGGGAGGAGCACAGGGGACAGAGGTGATGGTGCACTGGTGCCTTGGGGAAGGAAACTCTATGGGGACTATACCTGAGGGGATGGGGCAAAGCAAATATTGTTTAAAAATGAACAATGAGGTAAAAAAATTAACATAAAAACAATTAAAAAATTTAAAAATTATACTACTTAAAAAAAAGAGGCATGCATTTATACCCCAAAACTATATCTTCTATATAGTTTTGTAAACAAACATAGCATCGGGCCTCCCTGGTAGAGCAGGCAGTTGAGCGCCGTGCTGTGAAGCTGTCAGCAGCCTCTGCAGTGCTGGTTCAATTCCCCCAGCCTCAGAGCAACCTTCATGGCGAGAGACCTCTCCTGCCTTGCCCACTGCTCCCCTCAGCAGTGTATTTCTGTCATCTGCCTGTTCTGTTCACTGCTCTGTCTCTGGTGAATCCTCTCACCCTCCCGTGCATCTAGCCTGTATTCCAACTTTTCTATTTAAAAAATAAAGATTTATTAAAAAAAAACATAGCATCAACAAAAAGATAATACAAGTTAAAAATTCCAGTGATGCAAGGAAGATTTTTGTAATTAAATGGAAAGTTTGCTTATGCAGAGCATCTCATTTACCCACAAAGCATTGTATATGAAATTCTATTGTGACAATTTTGCCACTACCTAACAAAGTTGTGAATTTGTATCTTAGTGGAAACAAACAAAAAAAAGAATGGTGCAGACACTTTTTTTAATGGCAAAGTTCTGGTTTTGCCTTGAGAGAGGAAAGAGACAGGTGTCAGTATATGAACCCCTTCTGGGATGAACATTCTGCCAGTTTTGGAAGAGCATACTCCCATGTTAACAGAAAGATTGTGTTCTTGCAAACTCCAGATAGCTGTTTTCTAGGAAGTAGGTGCCCAGGAGCATGAACAGGCTGCATAAGAGAAGATGCTAAACAGGACTTGTTACCAATGGAGGTGGCTCTCTGACTCTCTCCTAGTTTTCTTTTCTATTCCATCAGCTTGATGAGATGATCCTTACACAGAGGAAACATAAAACATGACTAATATGATGGGTACACATAGATGCACACACAAACACATGCTACATATTCCCATCATGACACGATCACTCTTACTATAACCCTTTTCTGGACCCAAGGTTCATGGCAATGTCATAGATAAAACATTTATGTGAGATAGTATATTTATTTTCTTATGTTACATAACAAATGATCAAAAACCATATTGTGGATCAAAAGTCCAGACAGACTTGAGTAGGTTCTTTGCGTATGTGTAGTCTCCCAGGAAGAACCCATATCCAAGCTTATTGAGAATGTTGGTAGAATTTATTTCCTTGTGATTGTGGAATTGAGATTCCTGTTGCCTTGCCTGCTGTCAACCAAGGTCCACTCTCCACTCACACAATCTACCTAAAAACAGTGACACATCCAGCCTTTCTTACACTGTCTCTCTCTCTGTCTCCCTCTTCTGTTTTCTTCTTCTGCACAGCAGGAGAAAGTTCTCCTCTTTTAAGGGCCCACCTTGATAATACTGCATATTCTATTTGAAGGTCAGCTATGCCTCATAATGTAATGCATTTATAGATGTGCTACTTATTCATGTTCTCCGGTTTCAGGGATGAGGGTAGCACATCTTTGGGAAGGCCATTTTAAAAATTCTGCCAATGGGCCTCCCCTGGTGGCGCCGCGGTTAAGTGCTGGGCTGAGAAACTGCCCGCAGCCTCTGCAGCGCCGGTTCCATCCCCCGCCACCCGCGAAGGTCCCACATGGTGCGCAGACCTCTCCTGTCTCGCCTGCTGCTCCCCTCAGCAGTGTATTTCATTGGTCTGCCTGTTCTGTTCCCTGCTCTGGCTCTGGTGAATTCTCTCACCTTCCCGCACTTCTGACTGTACCCAGTGCTTGTACAAATAAATAAATAAATCTTTAAAAAAAATAAATAAAAATAAATAAAAATTCTGCCAACCACAAATAGCACTGGCATTTCAATAGCTAAACTTTCATAGAAAATACAGAGCTATATGAAAAAGGATATGATCAGGAGTGTTTTTAAATGAAGCAGGAGAAAGGGAAGAATAAAAGGGGGAAAGAGGAAATGAATGTCTTCATTCAAGACAGCAAAAAAAATCAAGTTTCTATTAAAGGGAAGGGATGCAAAATAAAAACTCACCTTCTGGAATTCCCAATGAAAATAATGAATATAGAAATAAGACCTCTGTAAGGAACCCCCAGTTACAAAAGGGCGAATTTAACATGTGTCTTTCTGTTCCACTGAAATTACTTACAAGACAAAAATGACTAAAATTGGTGTAATTCAACAAGGATAATGAAGATGGATGAGGAAACAACTTACAATAGGTCAACAAAATTTGGAAAATGGAAAACAGGTCCCTGGATCTGATTTAGCTGAAAAGGGAAGTTTAAATCCACATGCAATGAGAGAGGATAAAGGCCTAGAGAGACCCATTCATTGCACACTGCTTGATAAATCAGGCAGTGCTCCATTTCTCCCCAATAGCAGAAGTTCGTAGCTTCCTGCAAGGAGATAGTACCCCCTCTGAAAAGTATGTGTGAATATGGCCTTGATTTGTTTAAATGCATAAACTCCTATTGAATTAAGAATGACCCTCTCCTTGGTGCTTTTCACTGAAAAGCTTCTGTCCCTAGACTCATTTCTGCTCTCAATGCCAATTCATTAGCTTGTTGATGGCTCTCCAGTGAGTTCATTGGAAGTCCCAATGACACTTATCAAAACTGAAAGAAACAGGGTTGACCTCAGGACCTTCCCAAGGCTTCAGGGTTGGCCATTCTGCGCAACTCTTAGGGCTGCTGGAAATGTTGCTAGTTCTCATTCAGTCTCTTAACACATGAAGGGTCTCATTCATTAGAGGTCTATTTAGATATGCATAGAAAACAATCTTTCCTTCTATTCAGAATTGCTTTTCACCTTATGTCTAACAAATCTCTCTTAAATACTAAAGCAACTGAAGAGACAGGAATATAACATTCCAATAGGAAGTTGATAAAATACACAGTCAGCAGTTTCTTATTAACTCAAATATCTGACTCAAAAGTGAAAACATGATGGCAATGATGGATGGTGAGTGATAAATAAGGATGATCTTTTCTCTGAAGCTGTCTCACCTCCTCAGGATGGACTAATCACCCCACATGTAGTGTGAGCACTGACACTTTTGTTAGCCTCACTCCACTGCTGGGTTCCCTCTGCTGTCCCTCTGTTGCTCTATCTTCACTTTTCTTTTCTTCTAAAGACTTGATATTTACTGAGTCTTTTTTAATATACCATATTATTAAGTGCGGTCTTTTTGGAATGTTGATCTATTAGGAAAGCTCGATAATATAAAGTCTAAATAAAATTTAGCAAGGGATTGACTTTTTTCTCCCTGGTCATATATATACTTACACGAACTCTGGCATCTAAAGAAAAATGAGCTAAAGGAAAGAAAATATATATAAACATAAACTAAGATAAATTAGCATCACTTTTATTCAAATTCTTAATTATCATAACATCATGCATAATATAATCACAACAATAACTGAAGATTTGGTTGTTGGTAAAGATATACAATATTTAATAGGTACTGGGCAATCATGTAACTAGAAGTCCTCCTTAGTTCGAAGTCAACAATTCCCACAGGGTTTCAAATCACCCAGAATCTAGGAAAAAATTGCTTGAGTTTTCTTTTCATATCTCCATACATAGTAAGGTAGTGTAGACAAGAAGAACATCTCTAAAGACAAGTAAAATATAATGCAAAACACTAGACAAGTTGTCAGTTGGATATGTTGCTCTGTGTATAAAATCACAATGTGTCAGTTGACTATGCCTGAAAATGTGAAGGTATCTCTTTTATTTAAGCTTTTCATTTTGTAGTGAATCCCATATGTAGAATCAGAATAATATAGTACAAAGAATATTACAGAATCTACGCAGGTCTCTGCCAGACATATTCCTATCATATACATTTGACAGGTTTTCTTTCAAGGCTTTATAATCCTATTTTAAGCAAACTCCAAACAGGATCACTTCTTTAGTCAAATAAATATCTGCTCATCCATCCAAAGTTTTCCTAAATATAAGTCCCATTTCTAGTCCCAGCAGGTAGGATTATCATTCCCTTAAGTAATCAAGTTTTAGCTCATAGCTTAATATAATGTGTATTGGTTTTGTCCTTTAAGGCAAAACTCATCTGTTTTACCTTAGCAACACCAGAATCTATCCCAATGCTTAAATTTACCACATGAATAAATGAATGAACACATGAACTGAAAATAAGTTGCTTTAGAAAAATCTCTTCTTATATGCTTTTTACTTGCAGGTGCTAAAATATAGTGTGTTCAACTAACTGGGAAAAAAATGGAATAGTTATAAAGTAACAGGTTTAGTAGAGAATTTCAAAAATGAGAATCTAAGTCTACAAATGACCCTTTAAGATTTTATTCTTATCTTAGGAGGTAGAAAAGATATCTGTTGCAGTGCAAGTAGACTGACATTTACAATATGAACTACTAATTTATATGTAATTATAATTTGTACTTACCCATGACCATAAACTTCCTTTGACTGAGTCACCAATAAGGCCTCAATAGTCATATTCAGAACATTCTCCAGCACTCCGGTCTGTTGAGCGGTGATAACCTGGTGAGCCAAGTCCTGCAATTTGTTACTTGATAAGGATGGAATCAGGCCAGAGCTCCTTACTGTTGGCAGATCACCAATTTCAATGACCATCACTTTTGAGACAGTTTCCACAGTGGTTGGTGGTGGGACCATATACGAGTTCATTTCCATCATGAGAGGTTTGCGTTGACCAACTCTATAATAACTGGCACAAGTCACTGTTGGGCAATTGCGCTTTCTCTTTGCTTTGCTGTCAGCAATGGCCTTTAAGGTTGCTTTATTACCAGGCATTTCATGTATAAATCTGATTTGGTATGGGCTAACCTGCAAGAACTCAGTTAGTCTTTGAAGGATCACAGCTTCCCAGCCTTTTTCTGGAACTGTAAACATCACTGTGAAGGCCAAATGCATGGAAACACCTGAGTGTATTTCAATGGGTTCCTCTCCTTGTAGGACAACATATAAGAGGTTATCCATGATGTCAAAATAGTTGGCACCAGTAGACTTGTTCAGTAATGAGGAAGTTGATTGAACCAAAGTAGGTGAAATGAAACTTTCCCCTAAGAAAACATGGGGACTCTGGAGCTCATGGTAGAATATAGCCAAGAGAAGCTTGGAGGCACTTTTGTTCCCTAATAGAAAAAAACGCAAAATTTGAGGAGTCTGATCCACAAAACAGACCTTGGTGATTTTCCTGGTTGGTATGATGGAATAGAAAGTAGATACAGACCCTGAAATAGAGCAGGGAGTATTGGCATTTACACTGGTAAAGATGTCAACAAAACCACCAGTCACAGATACAACTGGATAGAACTTCTGCATTGCCCAAGTGGCATCAGTATTGTCAAGAATTAAGATCACGTGGTCAGTCTGCTTGCAGATATAGCCTTGTATCACAGATCGGTATGTGCATTTCTGTTCTTCTCTAAATGTTCCTAAAATACAAAGGGAAATAAATGATATTTGAACCACAATCATTCAAGGATGATTTGCAATTCATCACTCTCATTGTATGTAACTTCATGAACATTGACCACTGCAGTAGGCTAGATGTTGAGAATGCACTCTTGAGCAAAATATGAAAAGAGATAAACATTAAATAATAGCTAGTGAATATATCTTAGTTCATATGTTGCATAATACATGATATTTAATGTTAACAATGGATGTAATAGCTAATTATAAAATGAATTGAATAAGGAAAATTTTTTAAATGAAAAATGGAAAAGGATAGAAGGGTCCAATAATATTTTAATTAATGGAAAAGAGGTAGATTGAAGGTCTGTAACAGAGAATTTATGGAAGTATATTATTATTATTAAAGAAGATATATTAAAATTATGGAGGTATTTTGTGACTAAATTGTGAATTTGGATGTCAGACTATCTAATTTTCTCAGATTTCTTTTTCTTTAAATATGAAGAAAGAAGTATAAGAGGAACAGAAGTAAGTAGTAATTTGGGTAATTATTGACATTTAATAGAATCCAAGTTTAAGATAATCAGGATTAATGACAACATTTAAAGAAACATTGTCCATATCCCCCCTAATTTCTGTTTTCTGTAAATGTACTACCATTCATAATCCTCCTAGAGTAATTCTTGTTCTGAATCAATAGGGACATTTTATCATCCAAAAGAGTTCTTTGAATTAAAAACATTTTAAAATATATTTTACAAAATTGTCCTGTATTCCTTTTTATTTTGAATTTGCCTTACTGAAAGTTCATCAAAGACACATACAATTGGAACTAAAAACATCAAATTATTAGCACTGTACTTCTTACATCTATTTAAGTATGATTTAACCTTTTCCAATATCCTCTTTCAATATGATATGATTAAAAATCTAAGCCAAAGATGCCTTATGTCATTTATAAGTTTAGTTACCCAAACGTTTCTTCAAGAGTAGGACAGATGATTAACTTTTGATTCAAAAATAACAACAAAGGTCAAAATTAAAAAATATTTCAAATTGCAAAATATGTCAAAATGAATGATTATGAAATTTTAGCATATCAAAATGTTTGGGATGTAGTGACAACAGTGCTTGAAATTTATAATGTTAAATATTTATATTTACAAAAGAAGACTTGTGTTAAAGCAATGTCTTAGGGAATGATCTCACAAATTTAGGAAAAAAGCAAAAGAAACCCAAGATAAGTAGAAGAAAGGAAATAATAAATATATCTGACCTCTAGGATTGCTTAATTCTAGGAACTGTCCTTAAAAAGTCTTTCTTAGTCGATATGATTCTCAGACATTCTCTGTCACTAACTCTATGTAATTTGATAAATTGCCTAAGTTTAGTAAGTATTGATTTACTTAGGTGTTTATTTCTCAAGATCAGTAACCATATCTCATATTTAAATTACCTGAGTAGTTTAACACCCTGCCTCAATCAGTAGATTCAGTAGATTAACTAACATTTGTTAATTAATATGTAATGTTCTTTTCAAAACTTTTGACTTCAAATAGTTTATTTATTCTTGCCAAGTATCTAATTAGATTTTATTCTATAGTTTGCATGTTTTAGATTGATTCATCCTCACAATAGTAAGAGTATGTTACAAAAATTTATTGTGAGATTTGTCCCCTGAATTGATGCTAATGAATTATAGCTTAATATTGTGAAAAAAAAAATTTCACTTGAAACCATAAGATTAAAATTATGTGTGATTAGATTTTACATGAATTTTCTCCTGTTCTTGAGTCCCATAATTGATTTGTCCACAGAAATGTTCCATGGTGAATAAGCTTTCTTTTTTGACCAATTCATTGAATAAATACACATGTAGAGAAGTGAGTTTTTCTTCTTTTCCTAATAACAAGTACTTTTTAAGGCTAAAATAACAAAAATGGAAGATTTACAATATGATTCAAATATTCCTTTGGAGCAATAAGGTATAGGAGCTAAATTATTAGAATGCATATGTTCAAAGTGGTCCAGTGACAGAGCTCTTTTCCTTCATTTACATTTACAGATTTTCCCCAGAAGCCAGTCTACAAGGAGGCTGGACCTCCAAGTCATCCCTGCCCTCAGCATCCAAAGCCCCCACCTTTTTTATATTCAATCAATAATGGTGGATGGAACATAGCATAACTGACTACCCATGTCAGTCTAGATGCAGAAACAAGATATCAAGAGGGAGAATTAAAAAAAAGAGGAGAAAATGTTTGAATTAGGAAGGGTGAGTGAAGTTTGTATGTGAGGTTTCAGGAGGGCACAATCTCTACTAAGCTGTACTGCAGAGCATAGATACATAGAACTCAGACCCAGAGCCCATGAGCAGGCTCAGGAACACAGCGATAGAGTATGGAAAGTCACTGTCAAATCTCATGATCCACTAGAATTTTGTTTTAGATTATAAAATCTAGAAACTAATGTAAGAAATACAATAGTTATTTTTGAGATTCCTTCTCTATGCTTAACCTGTTAATGGTAAAAAGGAATTATTACTAGCCCTATCAACTCTCTCTTTAATAATAAGGAGTGAGTTGACGAGTTAGTATTATAGTCCCCTCTTGGGACTAAGGATGAAATGCCAGGCATATATAGCTACTTAAATATGTGCTAATTATTTGCTTGTTTAAACTTAACCAGTTACTTTCTTGATGTCAGGAGCACTAGGCAATACCAATTGCATGCATTGTTTCTATCCCTCATTCACTCTTTTTTAATATTTTAAAACTCTGCATTTGACATATACAGGCTGACTTCTGTGATGTTTGGCTGGTGACTTAGCACTATGATCATCATTAAATCAATAACTAGTAGCTTCCAATTTTAAAAAAGTTTAATGAAACATTGATTATTATAAAATATTCTCCCCCAGCCTTCTGTCCCATGCCCCCCCAAAATGGAGGACACTCCCATATGATCCAATATGAATATTAAGACTGTTTAAATTCCTTCTTTGTCTAAGCATTTTTGACAACATGTAAAACAATCATGACACTCTCTCCAAAACCACCTACTCTTTATAATTTGGGCTGTCCTAAGAATAACATTTTGTAAAAGGAAATCTGTAATAAATAACATGTTATTTATATTTTAAGGACATGCAGGCTTATTTTTTTTAATGTTTTAAATTTTTTTAAAGATTTATTTATTTATGCATACAAGAGCTGGGGAACAGGCCAGAGATACAGGGGGTGAGAGGATTCACCAGGGACAGAGTGGGGAACAGAACAGGCAGACTGACCAAAGTACACTGCTGAGGGGAGCAGCGGGCAAATCAGGGGAGATCTGCTGCTCCATGTGAGTTGCTCCCTGGCTGGCCAGGGATTGAACTCGTGCTGCAGAGGCTGTAGACAGCTTCATAGTGCTGTGCTTAATCCCTTGTGCCACCAGGGAGGTCCCAGGACATCCAGGCTTATGAGAGAAAGATTCGGGGTTTCCTTAGTCCCATGTGTCTCAAAAGTCAGAACTGAAAGTTCTTTGACAGCACTAAGAGAATGACCCTAGGATGTGACAGCCTCCTTTACATCATTGTAAAGGTGATAAAGCTGCCCATAGACGCATTTACCCATTGGGGGAAAATGACCTACATAGTGCACACATTAGAGCAAGTAACTAGAAAATCCTTTTATGTAGGACGTTAAAACAGACAAACCAGAAAACCAACAAAAGCAAATTAATTTCACTAAACAATTTTATTGTCATCTCTGGTATACAAGCTGACTTCCAGCAGGAATTTCTTTTTTTTTTTTTTTTTAAGATTTATTTTATTTATTTATTTATTTATTTATTTATTTATACAAGCACTGGGTACAGTCAGAAGCGTGGGAGGGTAAGTGAATTCACCAGAGACAGAGCAGGGAGCAGAGCAGGCAGAAGGACCGAAGTACACTGCTGAGGGGAGCAGCGGGCAGCAGGAGAGGTCTGCGCGCCATGTGGGACCCTCCTCCAGTGGCTGGGAAGCAGCCGGGGATCGAACCAGTGCTGCAGAGGCTGTGGGCAGCTTTGCAACCCAGAGCTCAACCACTGCGCCACCGGGGAGGCCCTCCAGCAGGAATTTCTACCTAGAGTTTTGACAAAAGGATTTTATACAAAGTAAACACTGTATCTGACCTGAACTATAGTTTCTTTTAAAATAATGATTAGGGCCTCCCCTGGTGGTGCAGGGGTTGAGCGCTGGGTTGCAAAGCTGCCTGCAGCCTCTGCAGCACCGGTTCGAACCCCAGCTGCCGGAGAGGGTCCCACATGGTGCGCAGAATTCTCCTGCCATGCCCGCTGCTCCCCTCAGCAGTGTATTTCATCAGTCTATCTGTTCTGTTCCCCGCTCTGGCTCTGGTGAATTCTCTCACCCTCCCGTACTTCTGACTGTACCCAGAGCTTGTATAAATAAATAAATAAATAAATAAATCTTTTAAAAAATAAATAAAATAATGAATAATTTTATTGAAGTAACAGTCTGGCACTCAAGATGAGATTGTGAAAAGGATCATGCGTAACTATGATCTTCAAAGCCTCATAAAATATACTAAAAAACTCACATTGTTGTGTTTAGACACAAGTTTTACAAGACAGAACCCATACAAAGGAGATATTAATGTTGGAGGAAGTGGTAAATGATAGAGTTAAGTCCTTGACAGACTAAGAAAGAACAGGACTCAGAGCCCATTGAAAGAAGGTGAGAGACTTGCCTGCAGCAGGAAGTTGGATAGAAGGTGGACGTGGGTGGGAAACTGAGGTTAGGCTCATCTGCTGGGGCAGGGATGTGTGAGTTAAACCAAGGTCATCAATGGAAAGTCAAGTGGGAGGCTCTGTGTTGGGGTTTGGAATGAGGGGAGTTGGAGTGGGTAGATTGTAGACTGAGGAAATGGTGTGAAATCATCATTGTGCAAGATAGGTCAAGCCAGTCTTTGAGAACATTAGTGTTTATGCAATGTGGCAGGACAATGTTATATAAGTCATTATGAAATTAAAATTA